TTCAGTCACAGAGCTCCCACTCACTACTGTTGACTTTTAGTGAATAATTAAAAAAGAAAACTGCCATCCTGTCATGTTAAGGACTGATCAAACTAGTCGAGCCTCCCACATAGAATTAGAAAGTAGTTCAATACATTTCTTATAATTTTTCTTTTGGTTTCTGTGGGGACAACTGACCTGAATCTGAACTGAAATGCCCTACCAACCATAACCATATCTTCTTTCCGAGTGTAAAGGTAACTATATTGGAGAACATTATCTTTGACCTTCGGTTCTGTCTTTGTCACACAGGCACAGAGACCAGTCCCATCAGGAGGAACCCAGCGGGGAACGTGGCGCGGCCCATGGTGCAGAAGCTGCCCGAGCCCCAGGATGTGTTGGACTGCCTGGAGCTCAACGCCTTCGACACTCCTCCGTACTACTCCACCTCCTCTGAGAGCTTCAGGAACACCATTGAAGGTGAGCAGTTACTTCTCATGGATTAGAATCGAAGCACCTGATAGTTCAGCCAAGACTCTTTCCTCACATGAGAAGTTAGCTTTCATTTAAAGGTCACCTATTATGTATAAGCCACTTTTTCATGTGTTTTATACATCAACATGTGTCCCCTCTGTGCAAAGAGATTCTGAAAGTTTCAGGAAAAAATATTCGCTCCCTTTTCGTCCTGATCCTGATATATAAAAACCTGTCTGAAAATGAGCTGATCAGATTTTGGCAATTTTGCGATGTCATATGTTTTTTTTTGGGTCGTGAAACCATTAGCCAATAACCAACCAAGGTAACACCTGTCCCGCCCACCTTATCACCTGAATGTCCTCCTAGAGCACCATTGTGTTCTTTTTAACCAAATATCTCTCAGAGGGGCGTTGGGAGTGGCTCCTAATTTTCATTTAAAGTAACAGACAGAGAATCAGCACTTTTGAAACAGGGCTGAAACAGAGGGTTTTATGGCATTTACAATGGGTGATCTTTTTGGTATTTGAAGCAAAACACTTCAGAGACATGTTTTGTTTTTTGTTTTCATATATCTGCGACCTATAATATATTGATGAAAAACAGTATAACAGGGGACCTTTAATGTCTTCTTTTCAATGTTCCAGGCTACAGCGCCCCCCAGGGGATGTACGACCCGGTGGTCCGAAGCCTCCACAACTTGGCCCATCTCTTCCTCAACGGGACAGGCGGACAGACTCACCTCTCGCCTAATGACCCCATCTTTGTCCTGTTGCACACATTCACTGATGCAATCTTTGACGAGTGGCTCAGCAGACACCAACCCGGTACACAAAGAATGAACTACATCGAGGTACAGCAAATCACTCAGAGAAATACGTGGATAAACCTTATTTTCTCAACCTGCAGGTGAAGTAGTCTACCCCGAGGAGAACGCTCCCATTGGGCACAATCGAAATTTCAACATGGTTCCTTTCTGGCCTCCTGTCACCAATGCTGAGATGTTTGTCGCTGCCACAGAAAACCTGGGATACTCCTATGAGGTCCAGTGGCCCAGTAAGTAGCAGCACACACACATTCACAAAACACAATGACCCCTTATGACCTTTTTGTCCTTTTTCCATAGCTCGTGCCTACACTGTGTCTGAGATCATCACCATTGGCGTTGTTTCGGCGGTGCTGCTGGTGGCAGTGTTGGGGGGTGTCATCGCCTGTGCAGTGCGCGCCCGCTCTTACCGCTCAGCTGAGGCCCTGGAGCCTCTGCTGGGAGAAACTTTCCGATGCTACTCAGAGGATGACCGAAGGTTGGACAAATCACAGTCCGTTGTCTAAATCCAAGCCTCTCAAGAGTGGCCATAACATTTTAATGCATGTTTGCTTTTTTTTATTCCCATACTTCTTCTAATAAAGTCGAACTGGTTTTGAATCCAGGTTCTGTGTGTCTGTGTAAGCGTATTGGCTATACATTGTAGGGCTGGAGGAGCAGTTTGTGTGACACATACAGCAGGAGAGATCACACTGCAGGCAAGAGGTTGGATTGCCTGGAGCAGCACAGCTTGTAATGAATGGGCAAACTGTTGTTGGTCGACAATTATAGGCGACTATTTCTCCCCTTTACTGTATCTGTTTTAGCTACCAGTTACATGGTGCTCATAGATTCATGAAGACAATGTTCATCTGTAAGATGAATGGCAATCTTTCTATGAGGTTTGATGTACCTATTCCAATACATTTGTGTAATTCAGCACTATCAGCGTGTGAATTATTAGCAGTGCAATATGAACCGACCACAGACAGGTCTTAATACTTTGATGCAGACCCAAATGTGCTTGTCTTCAGCCTAAGGCTAACCAGTAAACCACTATGATGTAATGGTTCTTCTCATCGAGTCAGATCAATTCGATTCAAAGGTCCATGCCTTCATAACAGCACACACACCGCCCTCATGTGGACATAACATATAACTGCGACAGTATAAGATGCTTCAATATACAAATCATGCACTCACCCCATAATCATTTGTTATAGTTAACACATATATTATAGATTAAAAGCTATATTTCTTTCGACGGAATAAGGTAAAAATGGACACACTGACTTAGTGTCTTAAATCTGAGCAGTTTTAGGATAGGAACACATTTGATTCACATCAATCGAAAAATGTCACGGTGGTAAAATAGAAAACAATCATAGAAAATAGCAATTAGAACTCTATGGGGAAAGATTTTGAGATAAAAAAAACTTCTGCTTTTTAAATGAATTAAGAATTGTGCATAAAGTATGAATGAATTATACAAACAATCTAAATATAGGAAGATTTTCTGCAGTTTTGAAACTCATAACAAGATGAAGGGGCATATCATGCGGTGTTTCTCTGCTATAACTGCTTGACAGTGTCTAATTATTTCTCCCTCCAGGCTATGCGAATGAATAAAGCAGCATGACATAAGCATGCATGCTCCTCTGCACCACATTTCCCATTAGTTCAACTCATTTGCTTTTGACAACCTAGACTTACAGTGACATGAAGCTGGTGGCACCTACATTTAATTGAATACACTGTAATTTACTGTCACTACTGCAGGCTTACAGTATGTATAGTAAAACTTCCAGTCTCAATATTTGTATCTTGCTTTCAGAAAAGCTTGATTGTGAGACTCAGCACTGGACTGAATTGCTTAGGAATGGCACTTTTGCAATGCTTGCTGGTATCTCATGGGAATGGATGGGAAAAAAGGGATTTTCTTTTGGATCCACAATCAGTTGGCTGTTCTTTCTGTACCAGCAGGTTACACTCAGCAAAAAGACAATCCTGGGGATTTATTAATATGGGTAGATGTGACAGTCACAGAACAATCATTTGGCCACTGCTACTTTCCCAAGAGGGAGGGTCATTAGTGCCTTTTATGTCAAGTGTGCTCAAGTCCTCCTAGCTGCTGTAAAAATGCATTACAGTTCTTCGGCCACATTGGATTGGCCCCACTGTAGGTTTAATATGTGAGGGAAAAGAGGGTGAGCATGGCCATGAGGGGAAAACAGTCCTGTTGCCTGTGGCCTGCTGGCAAATCCTTTATAAATGTTTGAAAGAAAGGGAATTTGAGAAAGTTATTGAAAACAATAAGGTATTTTTTCTCACTTCATAATAGAGAAGAAAGAGATATTGCAATGCATCTGCCAAACAGAAACTTCCAAAAGAAATGTATGGAAATTCATTGACAATCACATCATAACAAATTAGAAAATATGTAGATTTATGTTATAAGATGCCAAACAAGAAGCAGATATTAGCGTTTTATCTCCCAGAAACTAACAACTATTATTTTGAAAAACATTCCAGTTGATTTCCAAACAGCATCTAGCCATTTCTCCATCTTAAAACCCTCTTCACGCCAGCTTTTAGGCGAGGCAATTGTTCATCTGGAGAAGGATAAACCAGACTGCGATGGCTGGATTTCAATAAAGCTTGCAATGTGAACAGATGGCTTTGATTAATGCGGAAGTTCCAGACAGGATCTCCCTAGATGCCTCCTCTTTCCTAAATGAGACATTTGTGTGCAAATGAATTGTTTGTCAACTTGTCAACATTAACTCCAGTAATTAAAGGAAAAGTTTTCTGCATTAACAAAAAAATGGCACAGGTTTACTCTCCCTTGGCATTTCTCTAGCTCAGGTTGAGAACGTTTTTTGAGTTGTTTTTTCAGCTTCCTCTAAAATGTTGTGCCTCTTATACTTATTGTCCTGTCCTTAACATTAATTTGTTCCTCTTATATATATTAAGATGAATCATGCACAATATTATTTCACCAATACAGAATGATGAAGTGTTATGGGTTTAGATAACACTTGATTAATTATTTTTAAATGAACTTTCACCAGCTGCAACATGAAAGGGACGAACACATGAATGCATCAATAATTAGAGTCCCATGCTATACATTATTCTGATATAGGCCATTCCTCATACTTATTACTTTGAATTGTTTTGATCTTTTAGTATATTTTTGGTTTATGTATACACGATGGTATTTTCATCTTTATTTAATTACCCTCAGTCCTTTTTCCTCCACTGCCTCTCCTGTTGTCACTAGTCTTCTTCTTATTCTAGTGATTGAGTCATACCATGATAATCTGTGTGACACACACTTGACTGAACTGAGTGATCCTGAATATGTATTCACATTTGACAAAGACCGAAAGAAAGAGTGTGAGAGAGAGAGAGACAAAGATCAAAACAACGACAATCCAAAAAGCTAATTCTGTTCACTCGTTCGAAATAGATGCTAAAATATGCAAAACAATTGCATCTATCCTTAAATGTAACTTCAGGCACAGACATCCTTGTTTAAAAGTTTAGTTATGGCAGATTTTCTTAAAACTTCTCTATGGTCTGCATCTGTGGAATTTGAAAGTCAAACAATGTGATATCCACTAGCTTATCAGTATTATCCCGGAGAGACAACAGAGAGAATCAAGAAAGATTTCTGTTTTGTTCGCATTCCTCATTAAAATATAATCTGCTTTAAGGTGCCTGCTTGAGGTACATCAGGAAGTAAGACAGCAGAACAGCAGAATTACTTAACTATAAAAAGTTCTGTATACAAAACTCTAACAAATTAACATTGAATAAGATCCCTTACAGTACATTCTGTCATACAATGTTACACAATCCCAAACCCATGTGTGATGTGGCTCTAAGGACTACTGACATTAATACAATTAAATAAATGAATGTGAAGAGACCTTAAATGTTACAGTATAAATAAATTCATAAAAACATGTAGTATTTCTAAATAAAGGTTGCACATTGCACTATAACAATACTTACTACAACAGATCAAGGTATAGGTTATGAAAACAGTAAGCATGATCAAATAGGTAAATAAATGCACAATATTAAAGATTATTAAAAGATAGATAAAGTACATTGATAAATATAGCAATCATGAAACACTTATTGATTAGAATATGAGAATGAAGAAAACAAATTCAACAGTCTTCTAAAGCAAATGTCCGAAAACCTTATTGCCATACAAAAGATTGGCAGAAGCACTTGGCATGTTGTGGGTCTTAGGAGTTAATCACAGTGGATAACCCTATATGAACAGATGTAAGACAGTAGTAAATACATCTGACATTGTGACAGGAAAATTATCTATTGCATTCATACTGTATGCACTGTCGGTAGAATCAGAGGTTTTGGAGATGGTAATTCATTCATGAATGTGTTTACATGGGCAATGATGCATATCATTGCATATCTTTATTATAAATACCTCGAACAGGATAACTAAGACACAATATATTATTATCAGTTGGCTTGTTTAATAAATGCCTTTGTTGCTTCTGCGGTTACTCTAAAATAGCCTGTTTGCAACACAGAGGTAATTTGGATAGGGAAATGAAGATTTTTATAACATACACAAATTATTTCTAATAACACCTTCACAGGAATCTGGGTTTATATTGGGCAATTGTGCACGTTAACGCACCCAGTTGCAGTTAGAGGTAGCTTCCCGAAATTAAACTAGAATTAATTAACAGTTTTTTACTCCTCTATACGACTTTACCTGTCCTGGTTTACTCCTCTCATGTTTGTGTGAGGCTGTGATACCGGGAGGCAGCTACAATTAGACACAGTGGGCTGTGTCTCAAGAAAGTACAGTTAGGACTACAGTTCCCTTGGTCTTCTTGAGGATGTCCACAGCTTCAGCGTGAGTTACCCCCTCTAGACAATGTCCATTCACAGCAATGATCTGATCTCCACGTTTCAGCCGGCCGTCCTCTATGGCCGCCCCCTGTAGAGGACAAGAGCAGTCCTTCACCATGCGCAGATCAGACATAAAAAGCTAAGGGGGGGTTGCGAGTTTGAAATAAGTGAATAAGTGTCAAGTGTTGGGCTTTTGGATGTGACTGGGACAGGAGTTCATTAAGATGTAATGTTTTCAACTACTGAAACATTTTTAAAGTTACAGGACATTAACATAATTCTTATTTACAGGCAGATGTTAAAAAACTCAAAGGCTCCCAACCTGTGTGATCCTTTCCTTAACTGTATATAAACACTTGCCGGTATTTATGAACGTTTTAAAATCTGTGCTGTAGTGAGACAAGCTTTTCGAACCAGGATCCCCATGATATTTCCCTGAAGGATGTTCTCTCACCTTGTCGAAGACAGTTTTAACATAGATGGGCAGGTCTCCGTGAGGGCTGCTGAACCCTCCTACGATGCTGAAGCCCAGGCCTGAGGAGCCCCTCTCCAGAGAGATGGTGTTATACGTACGAGCACTGCGGGGAATAGGAAGAAGAACAAGGTGTGTTGCAGGCCATGCTAGTGCTGAACTAGCTCTGCTCTAAATTATGCTGTGTGTGTGTGTGTGTGTGTGTGTGTGTGTGTGTGTGTGTGTGTGTGTGTGTGTGTGTGTGTGTGTGTGTGTGTTTGTGTGTGTGTGTGTGTGTGAGACGTCTTTGTTCTAGAGTTCGATAATGTGGAAAAGAATCCAATGAAAGAAAGTTTTTAACAAAATTTAAAATTAGAAATACGACTCGACTCGCCCCTGAAAAATGCGTGCTCGCAGCTAATGGTATGGGGCGCGGCTAACAGGGCTACTAAAAAAACAGTTCGGAAATAACCCGCGAAATTTTCCCCGCGCGGGCCAGAGTACCACCGGGGCGGGGGGCCGGCCCAAACCTATACACCGCGGTCACCGTCATCCATATATTTGCGGACCACCTCAGGTGATTAACCTTGTAAAAAACTTTCCAAACTTTGGTTTGGACGTGGGAGATATATAGTCACATAATGAAAACTGTAGTGATTCTGCATTAATAATAAATAGTTGTCATTTTTCATCTAAATCCAAATCCAATACCACAGTCAGTAGGATGTAATAATAGTAACAAAAAGGTACGCCTTGCCTACCATGACATCAAAGATTCTGTTCATTACACTACTGTGACTAAAGGTCACAAACATAGACGTACAATTATTCGGAGACGCCCTTTGTGAAAAACAACGTTCTCTTTTTTCGTTTTTACTTATCCTCGGTTAACATTCCAACAATGACTGTTCTTGTAACAACACTTTTTTACGTTTAGAGGGTGTGGGGGAGTTTTCGAAAATCAACAAGACGAGATGAAATAAGTTGTATTCATGTCCTACGTCACAATTTTGTCGTCCCAATAATGGTCTTGTCAAATCAATCTAACACACACACACACACACACAACACACAACACACAACAACACACACACACACACACACACGGAACGCACGCACGCACGCACGTCACGCCACGCACGCACGCACGCACGTCACGCACGCACGCACACGCGCACACACACAAAGAAAGATCCAACCGTCCCCAACGCCACCGACGCTTTTTTGTGGTGTTTTTTTTTTTTCTAGTTTGCTGGTGTGACTACACTAACGCGCCAGCAGTCCGCGGTCGGGTCGTTGGGACGGAGCAAAGTATTTGGAGTCCATTCCTCGATTAAAGGAACGGGCAATATGAAATACTAGTTTGAGACCGAGGGAAGACCCAAATAAGTGGCTTTTTCCTTTTTTCCGTTGTGTCAAGGGATCGTGTTTATTACTCTTTCACGTCGTTACACACTCTTCTTAACTCTGTTTAATGAAAACCTGTCTTACTGGACGTCAGCAAAGGACCCTACCAGTAAACGACACTCTAACTAACAAAAAGAATCCTTTACAAGCGAAGTTGTTTTGTTAACTCTAAAAAAACGGTAAATAATTTAGGTACTATGTAAAATTCTAACATTTCGGGACCTATTTACTATTAACATATAGCAAATATAGTATAATAACCTTTTTCATTACCATGTTTTTATTTGGACCTCTTTTCCATAAAATTGGGATTCGACCTGATGGACACAACAACTATGTGAAATTAAGACTTCGTTTGAGAAATTATTAATAGCTAAGTAAGTAAAATTTTATGTATGTTTCG